GAAAGGAGGGTGTGTTTTGTTGCCTCTCCCATGAAGAACAAGGGCGAATATGCTTCTGACTTCTGACTTCTGACTTTCAGCTTACCGCAACCAGGTTCAATAGATAGATCTATACTGCTAAGCTAATCGGCATTTAACGGTCCGTGTTAAACAGAAAAACTGCATTTTGGTCTATCATAAAAGAGGATCAACAGCCTCTTGTCCATATTCTAACTTGTCCAGGGCCATACATCCTACCCGCCTTTGTATGATCTAGAACTAATAACAGTTTAACATAATTATCATCTTTCATCAACAAATTTTAATAGATAGAGAAAAGTAGAGAGGCTTCGGGCAGTTTTCAGCTACACGGCTCAATAACAATTTAATTAAGCCACAGAAAAAGATTTCAGCATTATTGCAAACCATTGGGGTTTCACCACTGGCGGTATCAGTTGTGCACTTCATCACGTTTTACCATCAGAGAATCATTACTATAGTGCGGTCAAAAATTCTTGGCGCAACTTATCCTCAAATATCTTTTTAACTAGTTAATCTAGATATCTATCTCTCCCATACTTTGTACCGCAGTTTGTATCAATTTGTCTTAACTTAATCATATTTTTCCAAAACAATTGAGGCTAGATTAACAAACTTTTCTTCATAAATTTATATAAAATACTACAAATTCCCTTCTCGCAGAAAATGGAATTGTTCACAGCACTCCCCGCTGCTCAACCACATTTTGCATACGCATATATGGCCTACGGCACAGCTCACAGATGACAATTTTTAGTGGCAAAACTAGTTACAAGAAATTAATTTTATAGTGAACACTTTATTGCACTCAAAAAATGTTTTTCAACAAAAAAAAATTGTCCTCTTGTTGAATTGTTGTCGTTGTTTGTTGTTTGTGTTTGCTGTTGTTTTTACAGTTGTTGTTGTTGTTGATGTTGACGAGAAGGATGTTGCGATGCTACCGCTGTTGCTGTTGTTGTGGCTGCTGCTGATAGGTTTCGGCTGCTGCTGATAGGTTTCGGCTGCCTCATACTTTGTAACAGAAATAGATCTATAAATGTGCTTGTCGTCGTCTTCATCCACACTATTGGTGGATACCGCTAGGCCTACATCTAATCACGTTTTACAGTATAGCTTTCCATCAGTACGGGGCTACAAATACAATGCGGTAGTAGTAGCATCAACGTCATCGAGGGCCCCCGGCCCCGCGGCTCATGGACAGCCTAGGGCCCCGCACTTATTAGTTAACGCGGCCCTGATTGAGAGTTAACATTGAAAAAATTGTTATCAAATTTATTAGTTTTCTTCAGAGCAGGCCATAACCTAGTTGTACAAAGTAAAGTATAGATAGATAGATAGATAGATAGATAGATAGATAGATAGATAGATAGAACATTATGCTAAGCATTTCTATATGCACGAAACGACAGACACGATAAATAAAGCATGATAGTAAATGTATATAGGCCTAATTATAATCATGTTAAATGGAAAACAAAAAAGATAGATTATGCAATTGTTAAGCACTGTCTGTGCCTCGGAACACTAATCAGAATAAGTTTCTCACTCATGCACACGAAACTGTTGTTGTTTTTGTTATCGATCCAGTAACAGGTGGGCCTTCGCACTTCTGTCCAATGGCATGTAATGATAAGTGCAGGTTTGCTGCAGATGCAGTAATGATCCATAGAATAGTATGTTGTCAATGTTAGGTCTTGGGGGGGAAATGGTACGTAGCTCTGATGCCATAGGGCTGTGCAGTGGAGAGGGTGATGAGCCACAGTTTCATAAGCATAGTCACACAAGGGACACATTTGGGGAGGTTCTGATTTTATTCTGTTCAAGCGGGAATTGAGTTGTAATGTTCAGTTTGCAGGCGTAAGTTTGTGGTTTGTTCCTTTCTCTGTAGGTAGTTGACATTATTATTGTCTTGTCGTTTTGTTGTTGTAGCCTACATATATATATATATATATATATATATATATATATATAATATGTATATGTTTGAAAACTGCCCTGCCTGCCTTTCCCAAGGCCAGTATGTTCATCCAATCTTTTTTGTTGTGTTTAATGATTTGTTTTGCTGTGTTGAATGAACTTCGAATGTTGGGCTGCTCCTTCAGTCTAGATCCCCATTGGGCAAGCATGTATGCTTTGTCATTTCCAGGTGTGTCTGAATGTCCGGGAATGCGCTGCATCACCAGGTTGACGCCATAGGATGTACCAGATGGTAGAAACCAAACAGCGTATTTGTCAAATCTTGGTTTAGATTATGGTCATTTTCTACTGCTTACATGACTTATACTGAGTCGGCGAAAATCACAAAACTATGTGTTTTGTCAGGATGAGTCTCAAAAACTGTGAGGAGAAGATACAGGGTTGTTTCAATTGCCATCATTTCTCCACATAGTAGCTGCATAGGCTGAAGAGATCTCATTGGAACTTTTATCTGGATATTGCATAAGTATCCCATACCCGGCTTTGGTTGTGCCTTTGAAAGCTGTGCCGTAGGCCTAACTGGTGTAGACGTGTAGGCCTATCCAGTCATCTGAAAGAGGTCGATTGTTTGATGTGATGCAAGCGTCAGCGTAACGGGGTGCGGCGATTCTGTGCTTTTGATTCTCACACTACTCACAGACGTTGTAATGGTTGTTTTGTTTGTTTGTTGCTTTTTAAAAATAAAGACAGGTGGGGAGGAATGTTGTGGTTGATTCTTTTGGTTTCTTTTCTGTTTTGTGGCATATGGTAACATTTCATTGTCATTATTTCTGTGATGTGATGCATCATGATTGCTTTTTTTTTTTAAAGTCGTTTATTTGGTTTCCGTGCTCCTACTAATTTCCTGTGTGGGTGGTTGGAGCACATTCTTTTGGTTATTTCAAGGAGCTCCAAAACTAAATCCTCATTATCTAAGCGGATTCCTATAATAGGTTCCACATTTGAAAAACATTTCTCCAACTTCAGTAGGCGTGAATCTCATGCCACCGTTTTTTAAACGTTGGATTGTTTTGGACCTTGTCAAAGGTGTTGCAAATGTTTGCACTGCTTACACTATAGTAAGTAGACTATCGTTGTATTCCAGGGTAGATCGAACGTAACCGTCTGATCCCCGCATGGACAGCTTGCAAATTTCTTTAAAAGTGTCGCTCCCTTCCCTAAAGTCTGTTTGGCGGGAATTCAAGCTGTTGTTAGTGTTCTCCAGGTACCAAGAGGATCTGTTGTTTAGTCAGCATGCTTAGCAGATGCATGATGATAGTGAAGAAACAGGAACTACTTCTCCGTGTGGTTTCCCAATTTTCGGGAGTGATTGTAATCCACATGGTATTTATTTTGCAAAGGAGAACTTATTTCCTTAGCAAAGCTTGTAGCCTACATTTTATTGTGTATTTTATCTGGTTCTGGGGCTTTCTTTTATTTTATTAACTTCTTAAGTCATGCTGAAATCTTTATGAAACAGTGAATTGTTTACCGTAGGATTTTTTTCTATGAGCTCTGCGTTGTTTATGAGAAATCTGTCAGCCTCAAATAGTGCACACTAAATTAAAAAGTGCCATCAGTCCACGGGGGAGGGTACACTCCCCCCTAGATAGATAGATAGATAGATAGATAGATAGATAGATAGATAGATAGATAGATAGATAGATAGATAGATAGATAGGTAGATAGAACATTATGCTAAGCATTTCTATATGCACGAAACGACAGACACGATAAATAAAGCATGATAGTAAATGTATATAGGCCTAATTATAATCATGTTAAATGGAAAACAAAAAAGATAGATTATGCAATTGTTAAGCACTGTCTGTGCCTCGGAACACTAATCAGAATAAGTTTCTCACTCATGCACACGAAACTGTTGTTGTTTTTTTGTTATCGATCCAGTAACAGGTGGGCCTTCGCACTTCTGTCCAATGGCATGTAATGATAAGTGCAGGTTTGCTGCAGATGCAGTAATGATCCATAGAGTAGTATGTTGTCAATGTTAGGTCTTGGGGGGAAAATGGTACGTAGCTCTGATGCCATAGGGCTGTGCAGTGGAGAGGGTGATGAGCCACAGTTTCATAAGCATAGTCACACAAGGGACACATTTGGGGAGGTTCTGATTTTATTCTGTTCAAGCGGGAATTGAGTTGTAATGTTCAGTTTGCAGGCGTAAGTTTGTGGTTTGTTCCTTTCTCTGTAGGTAGTTGACATTATTATTGTCTTGTCGTTTTGTTGTTGTAGCCTACATATATTTTAAGTGTCATGAAAAAATAAATAATTCCACTCCACCAAAAGGTGACTTGGTGCTTTCCGTAGGAGAACGTTA